GTGGCCTCACTGCTGTGTTCTCACAGCAAGGTCCAGGTAGAGGACAAGAGCTCTAGACCAGCAAGGATCCTGACCCTAGCCATCCCACACGCTGCCTTACTGAAGGCTGGAAAGGCATGCCTGCGACATCTTGCTAGCAGTCATTATTTTTATTGACACTGGAAAGGGTGGAGATTGGGCCATCTGGATCCCCTTTTGGGTTAGTCACTTTCTTATCTATAAAATGGTAACTCTATGAACTTTTAACTTATCGATAGGCCTTTTATAGAAATTAAAGTAAAAAAAAAAACCGATGCAGGAACATACTGTAAATTGAAAGTAAGATATAGGTGACTTCTGGTCTTGTTATTCCTGGGTTTGGGAGTGAGGGCTCTGGAGATCCACCCAACTCAGGTTAACCTGACTTACTTTAACCTTAGAGGAGCTACACGCTGTGTTGGAACACTAATTCCAAGTACCCTGAATGTCATGATACCCTGGTTTAAGTTATTCTATGCACCAAGTCCCCTGAACCTCACCAGAATCTTGTGACAGATCTGTCCTCCCTGACCATGGATACAGAAGTTCATGACTACCGAGGAGTGTCCTGTGTGACATTATTGAGGACACACAAACAAATGTCTCCTCATCTCTGAGAAGGAACCTGAGTAAGGACACTACCAAAGTGGTGAACCAGTGAGTGTTGTGCCCCCGCCCCTACTCTGAATCAATAAGATTTCCTGGGTGGATGACTCAACTACAGCTATATCACCAAGACTCACCCAGTGCAGCATGGGGGATGGCTCAAGGAAACCAGTCACTAGGAGTGCTCTGCATAGCCAGCAGGCAGCCCAGGTGCTCTGAGTCTCCTCTAGGCCACTAGAGGCTCCTCCTAGAGCCTCTCAGCAGCCCTTACTTGAATGCTTGAGGGAGGGAAGGGACCTAAGGAATCTGGTTCAATTCAGGGATTTCCTGAAGCTATTAAATTGTTTACTGTGCTTCCCTTACCTCCCTCTTAGAACACACTGTTGTTTCACCACCTTGTCAACATCCAGTGTCACAACAAGCTTCCCTGCAGGATGAAGATTTCATCTGGAGGAAACTGTTACAGAAGGGATATGCCTGAGACGAGCTAGGGCTGTCTCAGCCACTGTTCTCCAGCTACTCACCTCTCAGAGTCAGATTACAGTGGAGATGTTTGTATTTGTCTACTTGTTATCTTCAGATAAGTTCATCAACTCATAATACCAAAGCCATGATGGGACAAGGACCATTGAGAATCATCTCACCTGATTCCTAAGGGAAGTTTGGTGAGAGACTGACTTGGATAGCAAGGTCCGGTAGCCCAGGGAGGAGGCATGTGGAAGCCAGGGAGTAAGGAGAAACTCCCAGACCCTGCTTTTCTCTGGGTATATTTGCCTGGGTCAGAAAATAATGAATGCAATAAAAATGACTTCTAGACACAAAGGGTCAAGCGATATCCCGTTTGCAATTTCCCAGTGTTCTGGAAGAGCAAGCTGTAAGTGTACATCCTGTTAGGTGAGGGAAGCCACAAGAATCTTCCTGAGGTTCAAATCCAGAACCCATCCCAGTCATAGGCCCTGAGTCCCCACGGTTCCTCCAGTCTAGGATGTCTCCTCCTCCTTGGTTTTGCCTCTGCTATTTTTGAGACTCAACCTCAGTTTTTCATAGCCTTTCCCAACTCCCGAAGCCCTGGCCCGTTTTCATCCCATGTCCCTGGAACTGACTTTATTATAGCACTTCCTCTGCTGTTGAGTTAGCTGAATCTTCAGTACAGTGAGGGTGTGCACCAGCTTCATGATCATGTATTTCTAGTATCTGCTATGAACGACTCTCCAAAACCAGTAAGTTCAACTTTTTCCTCTAGACTCTTCTCTTACATCATCTTTGTTAAGTGTGGCTTCTAGCTGGGCATGGGAGTATATACCTCCAATTCTAGCTGAGTAGGGGAACTGTGGCAAATTTTAGACTAGCCTGGGTTATATAAATAAGACCCTGTTGCAACTCATTCCCCAAATCCTCCAAAACCAGCAAACATAGATATCAGTGTTTGTTCTCGTTGATGGCTGAGTTAGTCAGAAACTAACACTAGTTTAGTGTTCTGGCACTGAGCCCTGTCTTCTGAGCTCCGGGGAGAGCCAGGCAGACCACCTGGGGTCTGCTCCAGGTCTTAGGTTTGTAGTTTGGGTTCTTTGCCCACTGTAAAATCTGCCCTGTCCTGATTACCCCTGGACTTCTCTCTGCTTAGCCTGCTCCTCCACAAAATGAGGGGCTCTGCAAAGACTATAGTCATAGTCATAGTCACAACTCCATTCAAGCCCTAGAAATAAGATAATGAGCCTAGGAGAGCCAGCCTCTTCCCACTAGTACAATCAGTTAGGGGAACCAGACCTGCATTCAGGCTCCATGTTGTATGGGAACACCTAAATATTAGAATTCTGACTTGGAATCTGATGGAGGGAACAACAGGTAAGATTTCTGCTCCCCTGACCACAGGCAGTCACTCAAGCATGGTCACTGTTAAATCTTGTGTCTAAGTACATGAGGGAAAGAGTGAGAGAGTGATCAAGAGAGGCAATTTCTTGAGCGAATGCTCTAAGAATAATTGGGACAAAGAAACAGCTACCCTTTTCCTTATTTCCTGTAGTTATGCACTTACCTGTGTATTGTGTGAAGAGCTCTTGCCATCCTTTATTTCTATTTTTATTAACTTTTAGAATCAAGCTTAACTTTTCAGCCTGGAGTTCTTGAACCCTGAAGTACATCAACATTTGCATATTCATTGATGTACACAGGTTTAAGCAGTGTTCAACACTTTATGAAGTTGAACACAGGTTCAACGGCTTTATGAAGGAGTCAAGATACCCCAAATGGCTAATGATCACCGCTTCTAGGGCTTACCATATCAACTTCAGATGAGAAGTTGTGTCTTTCTTAAGAATATGCTCTTCCCAATATGGAAGAAAGAAAAGGCATTATAATCAGGAAGTGACCTATTTTCCCCTGTAAAAAAAGTACCGGGACTGTAAAAAGTCCAACTACCCAACCCAGAGGAACCTCAGCAAGCCTTTGATGAGAAACCCACAAAGGCTCCTCCACCCCAACTTTCCCCTTTTAGGAATTAAATCTATTGCTCATTTGGGAAGATATTGTTCTGCATGAATGCTGTGGGCTCTTAAAGAAAGTGGGCACGGTATAGTGTAAGCTTACGGAATGAGAACTTGGATAGTCACAAAACCCCCACAGGTAGGATCTACAGAATCTGCAACCTGGGGAATGAGGGCAGCAAGATTTTAGGGGCAGCTTGTAAAAGTGAGTAGCCTATGAAAGTTTCTAGATAGCTTAGGACTGTGGCCTCAAACAGAAGATAACAATAGCTTCCGAATGACACCATCCTATAAGACTCTTTAGAGCAAGCAGTTTTTTACACCCTTAAACTTGGGGATAGATGATGGTCTAGTCAATGAAAGGTTATTTCCCCATACAAAAGCACTAAGGATAGATCCCAGAGCCGGGAACATGCCAAGCAGCCTCCTAACAACTGAACTACATGCCTACCCCCATGAATACTACTTTAAAAGAAAAAGACACTAATTTACAAAGGCTTGCCACAATGAGACTGCTAATGTATTCCGACACTGACTATTGAAGAAGGCTCAATCAGCCAAAACCTCTGAAGTTGCTGAAGGGCAAGCTCTGACTGCAAACAGGCCACTGGGCACCCACTGCATCTACTCCTCAAAAACAGGGGGTCGCCTGAAATAAGCACGCAACATCCCAATCCTGACACAGGCCCTTCTCAAGTCTTCAGGGCTTTCATATAAGGCAGGAGAAAAACAAAACAAAACCCCATTAGAACAGAAAAGAAGCTCCAAGCCTAGCCAAGACGGCAATACATACCCTGGCTATGGAGTCCGTGGCCCCTGGTCACAAGGGACAGTGGAGCAGATGAGAACTAGCGGGCAGGGTGGAGGTCTTTAATACTCTCCCCCTCTTTTCTTTCAGTTTCTGTTTTTAGAAGAGTCTATTGTCTTTCTTTCCTGCTTGCCCCACCCTTTCAGTTTCACTTACTTAGGGGTTTCTCAGAAATCACTCAGGTTCTCAGAACATTTTAGCCATCTGAATACCTTTCTTAATGAGCAAGTTCCGCCAGTTGCTGGTTGGGCTGGGGAGGAGGAGGTTGAGACCAATCAAACTCTCAATAACCTCGAGCTACTTGCCATTGCATCAGCTGTCCCGTCTTCCAAGTTGCCGCCACGTGACCTCCCCACCCCTTTTTCTCCCCGTCCCCCACGCCTAGAACATCATTGTTATTGTGTGTACCGTAGAGACAATGGGGAGGGCAGGTCAGCCTGTACCTTCTGAGGCAGTCCTGTTCTGAAGCGGTGCACTGCAGCGGAAAGATAGGAAAGATGGGTCAGAGAGAGCAGACTTTTGACGTTGAGCGTAAGATTGCTTTCAAACCTTGGGCAAGTAGTGTTACTTCTCTGCTTCTCCCTCGGGTTCCTGGTCTGTGAAATGCGTACCAGGAACCTTCCTAATACTTTGTGGAGGGGAACTGATGGCGACCCTACAGGGCAAAGCCCCAGGCGGTGGAAAACGATGACAGCATGCACCCATGGTGGGCGGCGCCGCCGCAGACTCCCCGCCCCTCGCAGTGCCGGTGCCCAGAGAACAGTGTGTCCGGTTCGGACCTGGGTCCTCAGGGCTCAGTGCGCGGGCGGTAGCCCGAGACCCCGGCGCCACCTCGGCGTCCCTCCTTCACTCCCAAAGTGGCGTCTGCCCTCTTCTCACTTACCGGCCCCCGTTGGGACCCACCAGTCAGCACCGCTGGTACAGCCACCGGTACATCCAGGGCGTCAGTGGAAACCCCATCCGGCCGGAACAACTTCCGGTCCTGACATGCCACTATTGGCTGTCCATCCAGGGACGGGGCAGGACCCGTCTCTGATTGGCTGAGGTCCCTGGAGTCGTGGTGGAACGCGACTGGGCGGCCCGAGTGCAGGCCGGACCGCTGTAGAGGTGGACCGAGTGCTTCCGTGTGTGTGGTGAGCCGCGGGCCCGGGCGGGAGGGGGCCGGGACCTGGTGGCCGCGTGCTTTCCGCCTCATAGTGCCAGGTTCAGAGTGCCGCACGCTTTCCATTTCTTCCCATTTCTTTCTAGAGTGCTCTGAACTCTACCCATTACTGTTGACAGCTTGGCTGATTTCTCTTCATCCTTCAAGACCCGTGTCTGCTGGTATCTTTATGTTTCCCCTCTGGATCTGTGGCCACTGGGTCAAGATCCGAGCTTAATTTCCGCCCACATGAGCTCCAACGTAGAGCTAAACACAGACTAGGTAACAAGGAAGTGCTTGTTGAGCGGGAAAATCCCGCCTCTCTTTAACTTCTTCAGCACCCTGGCCCACCGGCTCTCAGTCTACAAATTCATCTAGGTCGAGGGTTCTTGGACAGTAAACGAAACACACAAGACTCCCTGCCCCACACGTCTGTGCTTCCTTTAGCTTTTTAATTTTTTTCTCCATCCTCATTACCTCCCCCCACCCCCCGCATTTAGCCTCTTCCTCTTGGTTTTCAACACACCCCCCCCTTTCCCATGACATCCTTTGAATTTGGGTTCAAAATGGCAGCCATCACCTCTTAAACCGTGTACATTTCCCTCAGCTTTCAGCCTTCTCCTTTCACGCGTATTTTCTTGACTCACCCTTGACTCCTCTCGATCGTTAATTGGTTCTGTTGTTTAGACTCAAATACTGTGATCTCTGGTTCTCAGCTTCTCCAGAGTGTCTCCGCACAGGTTTACTGTCTCTGAGGTTCGTCTAGGCTCCATAAGATCATGCAGTTCAGGGCTCAGCTGCTCTGCTCTTCTCTTCCGTTTCTCCTTTTGAGTTCACATACCGTGGCCTCTGGCTCATGCATGGAGTGGAGGATGTGCTTGTCTCTCTCCCTCTGGCTTGTGGGTGTGCTGAGTGAAGGTCATGTACTGTTTTGCCTATTGTTGCAGCTGTTGAATGAGTGCATGAGATCTCCCAGTGATGAGAGTGCTTCGGGAGTCCAGCCTCTTGCCATTCAGACATTTCCCATGCCCCGTGGAACTGATGGGCTACGGTGTCCTCTGATCTGCCATACACCTCTCTTGTGAGTCAATTCTGCAGCTAACTGTGTGGCTCGAAATCCAGGCTTGTGACTGAGCTCTATTTAGTCTGGTAGTGGGAATCTGATGGGTTCCATTTGACAGGTAGAGCCAAGGAGCTACCTCAGATCCCTGCTGAGTATGTAGAAATTAAATTATTTGCAGAGCATGTTTTTTCATCTGTGTGTAATTAGTCCCCAGTGTGCTCTTGGTTCAGTTGGAGACTGGCTGACTGCTTTTAGAAGTCCTTTTTAGAAGATGACTTTAAATGTGGACATTGCTACTTGCCTGGAACCAGCTACCAGTGGGAACAATAACCACAGGCATTAATTGATGAACAGACTTGTGTGGCACTGGAGTTCTTGGATAAATAGTGCCATTAGAGGGACAGATGTGGAAGGGTTTGAGTGGGATATTGAACCCTAGTGTGTGACCTGACATTGTGATGTATGCCTGTTATTCCATCTCTCAGAAGGCTGAGGCAGGAGGGTTATGAGACTAAGACCAGCCTGGCTTATATAGTGAAAGTATGTCTTAACAGTTTGGGGTTAGAGAGGCTCAGCTGTTAAGAGCATTTACTTTGAAATCATGAGGACCAAAGTTTGGATCCCAGCACCCATGTTAACAAGCTAGGCATTACACACTTGCCTGTAACCCAACCTCTAAGAGGTCAGAGACAGGAGGACCATGCCTCAGAAGAATAGATGGAAAGCAGTAGAGGAGACACGGATGCCTTGTTCTGGCCTTCTCGTGTGCAGAAGCAGAGGTTTGCACACTTCCATAGTTCTGCGCAAATGCACAGATGCACAAATAAGTATAAAACCCAAAACATGAGGCTAGCAGGGTTTTCTTTCATTAGGGAAGTTGGTCCACGGCCCAGGCTTGCACCCTGTTCCACCATGCCCTCTGCTGGTTATGATATGTTTAGCACTCTTATTTTCTTACTGTCTGTTCTTGCTGTTCTCTTCATGATATTAAAATACTGAATTAAAATACCAAACCACCTCTTACTGAGAACTAGCCAATAGCAATTTGTGATGGATCAGAATTCCAGGAAGAATTTTCTAAAGGAAATTTATTACTGTATGAATCTGTGCATTTGGGGTGAGACACAGTTTTGGATGCCATGACCAAAACTGCTCTTGCCACACTTGGGTAGGTAGACTGGTGCCTTCGGATCCAACCCTGGGCTTTGGCATGCCAGCTAGGTGCTCTTCCTATTGCTCTGCATCTCCAAAAGCTTGTTTCCTCTCATTTTTTTCCTTTGATTGTTTTTAAAGACAGCATCTTAATATATATTCTAGGATAGCCTTGAAATAATAATCCCCCTGCCTCAGCTTCATGAGTGCTGGGCTCACAGGTGGGTGTCACCATACCTAGATTATTGTTGTTGTCTCCTTTCTTTACTTTCTCCTCCTTTTCTGCTTTGCAGTGCTAAGAGGCAAACTCAGAACCTTGCATGTGTTAGCAAGTGTTCTGTTAGCGAGCTTCATCCCCAGCCCCACATAGGTTCCCATTAAAAAATTATATGTTCTAAGTATGTCTATTGGAGACTGGAAATCCATTTATTTTTAAAAATTACTTAGGTTTTTAAAAATATGTTATGTTTAAGTTAGGGCGAACATACCATCTCCCCATGCCATCTCCCTAACATCCACTCACCTTTCCTTCCTTCTTTCCTCCCTCCTTCCCTCCCTCTCTCCCTCCCCACCTCCCTCCCTCCCTCCCTCCCTTCCTTCTTGCCTTCCTTCCTTTTTTAACATTAATTTAGTTATAAGGTTCGGCAATGGAGTGCACATCAAGGCACACATGTTGAGGTCAGAGGACAATTTTCATGAGTTGATTTTTCTCTTTCCGCCATGTGGGTTCCAGGAATCAAACTCAAGTCTTTAAGCTTGGCAGCAAGCACATTTAACCCACTTTAGTCATCTTGCTGGCCCAGAACATCACTTATTTTTAAATTTTCCTTTTTTAAAAAAAGGTGTGCTTTCTATTTTTAATTGTGTGTGTGTTTGCATATATGTCAGTGTGTGAGTGTGTACGTGAGTGTGGGTAGTCGTGGAGATCAGAGCAGGGTGTTGGGTCCTTAGGAACTGGGGCTACCTGTGAAACTGTGTTTGATCCTCTGGAAGAGCCATCTCTTCTACCCCAGAGTCATGTCTTTATGTTGGAGTATCTGAAATCCTTTCTTTTAGCTCTTTTGAAAGTGCAGCCTTTGTTTTTTATGTGTTCGTGTTAGTGGAGTTTGAAGTCTTAGATTTTCAAAGTGACATCCCTGCTCTGAAGTACAGAACTGTTTTCCCATTCGCAGTTGCTGACTCTTGACCTTTTTTAGTTCTAGGAAGTCACCTTGTGTGTCCGCATGGCCTCGCTGGTGGCATATGATGATTCTGACTCAGAGACTGAGACCGAGCCTGCCAGAACTGTGAACCCTGAAGGTCAGATGGATGATACCTTTGATGTGCCCAGACCTTCTGGAACGGGTTTTGTATCTGGTACAGTGGATGTGACAAAAGAGGGGGTACAACACACAGGGCACAGTCCTTATAAAGACCCGGGGGATCAACATCTGCCACTCGCTCGGATCTGGAGAAGTCACCCAGGATCTTGTCCCAGCCAGAGGCTACAGTGGCCCTCAAAGGACCCTGATACCACCTTCCCCACCAGTGAGCCTCCTTGTCCTTTGTGGATGAGCCGAGCTCCAGCCGGCCTTGTGCCCTTGGCAGCTGCCTGCTTAAAGCCAGTAAAACCTGCTTGGGATGCCCTGCATTCACCTTCTCAGACTCAAAGCAAAGTTGAAAGCACCGCTAGAAATGCCAGCTCTTTTCAGAGGAAAAGAGGTGAGGACTGTGTGGTTCCCTATACTCCCAAGAGACTGAGGCAGCTGCAGGCACTGAATCCAGAAGGGGGCAAAGATCTAGAGCCTCCAGGACCCCCTGCAGGGTGTGCCCCAGCCCCACTCTCTGTGGCTCCCACTGTGTCTGAGTTCATCCAGCCATATTTGAACAGTCAGTACAGAGAGACTAAGGTCCCCAAGAAAGTGCTTTTCCACCTGCGAGGCCACAGGGGCCCTGTCAACAGTATTCAGTGGTGTCCAGTCTTTTGTAAAAGCCACATGCTTCTCTCTGCTTCCATGGATAAAACCTTCAAGGTAAGGTGAGGGAAAACAGTCTGCAGTGACTCTCTTCCCAGGACGTTGTTCTGATTAGAGCCAGGCGGTGGTTGGGGACAGTGGTTTTGGAAATTTCCTTGGTTCACTTTGGTATATTTGAGAAAGGGTTCTCTGTGCTTTGCCTCAGATCTTTGGTTTTTCCTGCCTTTCCCAAGGCTGCCGTGCCATAGCACCACAGTGTTAAATAAATTACAGTATGCCCAGATGATAAACATCTTACTTCATTTTATAATAACCTATTATTTTAGCCCAAGTATGCCTTAGTTCATTCCTTTTCTGTTTTGGGCATTTCATCACCCTTCAGTGGCACATTCCCATGAACCATGCTGCTGTAAGCATGCTACTGCTTACGTACCACCCGCCAGACCCTGGTCCACATAGCGTCAGGCCAGGCTTAACCTGAAGACAGGTGACCCCTACTCAGGAATAGCTCAAGTAGAAAAAGCACATCTTCCTATGTGCTCACAGCCCCGAATATTGTTTCTTCTAATCTTTTATTCATAAACTGTGATGCTTCATTTTGTTTCATCTTGAACCCTGGTATAGAATTATCAGCACTTGAGTTTTGATAATCTAACTTTGGAGACTTATTTATTTGTTTGTTTGTTTGTTTACTGAGACAGAGTTTCTTCGGTAGCCTTAGGCTGTCCTAGAACTAGCTCTGTAGATCAGACTGGCCTCGAACTCACAGAGATTCTCCTGCCTCTGTCTCCTAAGAGCTGGGATTAATGACATGTGGCACCCCCTCTCAGCCTATTTATTTATTTAATAATATAGGGTCTCTCTATGTAGCTCTGGCTGTCTTGGAACTAGCTATGTAGAAAGGCTGGACTTGAACTCACAGAGGGTGTCTGCTTCTGCTCCCCCCCCCAATCATGCTGTGTTTAAAAGGCATGCATCACCACACCCAGCTAGCTTTGGAGATCTTTAAATCAAACAACAACTAACAAGTCTGGGGAAATGGCTTGGTCAGTAAAATGCTTGCCTTGTAAGTATGAAGATATGAGTTTGAATCCCCAGAATCCAAATAAAAAGTTTTTCAGGGTGACATGCACCAGGTGGAGCCTTGGAAGTTAAGGGTCTAGAGAGTCTGGTCTATATGGCAAAGTTCCATGTCAGTCGAGAGACCCTATCTGAAACACAAGGTGGAAGACACCTGAGGATTGACTTGGGACTGTCCTCTTACCTTCACATGTGTGCTGTGCATGTACACATGCACACACACACACACACACATAAACACAGGCATAGACACAGATACACTCACGTAGACACACAGACACACACACACACACACACACACACACACACAGAGAAAGACAGAGAGAGAGGTAGAAAAGAAGATAGATATTCTATTGCTTGTGATGTCAGAAATTAGGCTTATGTTTTCAGGGAATGCAGGGTGTACAGTGTGATTTTTTTTTTTTTGAGACCGGTTCTCACTTTGTGGCTAGCTCTGGCTGGCCTGGAGTGCTCTATGTAGACCAGACTGGCCTCAAAGAAAAAAAGATCTGCCTGCCTCTGCTTTCCAAGTACTGGGATGAAAAGCCTGTGCTACCATGTCAACCATGCGATATATTTAACTCCAGCCTGTAATTCCAGTTTCTGGCCAGCAGAACAAATATACGGGCCAAATACTGATGGTTACTGAGTGACCCCAGTGACTCCCTGGCTAGCTGAACTACAAGCTTCCTGGGAAGAACATGGCTTCCAACAGCCTGCAGAGAGTAGCTGGTTTCTGGGCCAAGTGGGTCTCCCTCAGAGTCTGCACAAGAAGGACACTCATACCTCTGTTACATGATCACTTGAGAAATGTGTTTTAAAAAGCACATCATGTAGGCTGGGGGTGTGGCTTAATTAGTAAAGTGCTTGCAAATACAAGAGCCTGAACTTGATTCCCAGAATCTACATAAAAAAATGGGTGCATACATATCATCCCAGTGCTAGGTAGGTGAAGACAGGTGGGTCTGTGGGGTTCTCTGGCCAGCCAGCTTAGCTTATATAGTGAGTTCCAGACTGGCGAGAGACCCAATCTCAATAAACAAGGGTGGTGCCTGTCCTGGTCTGGGTCACCATTGCTGTGAGGAAACATCATGACCAAAAGCAAGTTGGGGAGGAAAGGGTTTATCTGGCTTACACTTCCACATTGTAGCCCATCACTGAAGGCAGTCAGGACAGGAACTCAACCAGGGAGGGAACCTGGAGACAGGAGCCGATTCAGAGGCCACAAAGGGATGCTACTTACTGGCATGCTCATTGTGACTTGCTCAGTCTGCTTTCTTATAGAACCCAGGACCACCAGGCCAGAGGTGGCCTCACTCACAATGGACTGGGCCCTCCCCCATCAAATTTCACTAATTAAGAAAATTCCCTACAGGCTTGTGTTAAGTTGACATAAAACTAGCCAGCACGGGGCCCGAAGAGCCACAGCTGAAGTTATCCTCTGACCTTTATGTTTGCCCACACAAATGTATGTGCACCTGCATATACACGTACGCATACCTTCATTCACACACGACTACGAAAAAAATAAGCATTTATTGCAGAGCTGGACCCCATAGAAGCTCAGTAAATGTGGCCTTAGCCCACTCTGTCCTCAGCATTCTCAAAACCACTTATCTGAGCCCTTTTGTCTGAGATTTTGTTTTGAGCTCCAACCCACCAACCCAGGATGCATTTTCTCAAGTGAAGAGAGGGAGACCCAAGTGTTTAGAAGTGAGCTATGTCTGTGTGTGGTAGTTTTAGATAGACATGTACAGATGATGCTGAAACTCTTGTAGCTGGCTCTGGCAAGGCTGTTGTCTTCAGTTCAATCTTCAGCTGGCGTCCTGGCTTCTTTGAGTCAGGTTTTAGTGCTTCTGCGGCGTTTGCTATGTAATCTGTGTGAGGGGTGTTCAGTGTTCCTGGAGTGGCTCATGACGTCTTGGACCTACCCAGAGTCCTGGCCTCTCAGTTCTCCATCCTGAGAACCTGATGCACAGAGACCAGCAGGGCCTGGGGCCTATCTAAAGATTTCAGTTGGGCCCATGTTCCTGGCAGTGTCCGTCTGACTCTGGAGTACACAGGACACTCCTTGACTTTGAGCTCACCTGATTGCTAAACTTTTTTCTCTCTTTTGTCCTTCTTTCTCTAGGGTTCTTCTGCTTTGCTTTTTGCTTGACCAGTTTCTACTGAACAGTCAAGACCCAGCTCAGAAAGGGACTAATGAATAGTGTTCTTGGGTTGGGCGGTGTGTCAGGAGCAGGAGCTGCATCAAGCCAGATGGGTCATGTTCTTCCTGTTGGGACCAGACAGTCGACAAGCTGCTTTTGTATCTAGCCTTCTGTCTTCTTACACTTAACTGGGCACTGTCCACTGTTTGAATGTAGAGGTCCTTCCCTTGGATGAGCCTGGAAGCAGGCTGGGCTCCTCCCCAACCCCTCAGTATTAAGGATGAGGTAGCACTCATAGGGTGGAGGAGGTTGCATTACAGTGGACTGGCTCACCTGCTGCTTTATTTACCTTGGCAAGGCTTGAGGGTTCTCTCGTGGCACAAATACCTACATGTGCTGTGCCCGCAGTATCTAGTGTGCTCTTGGCTTCTGGTGGGAACTTACCTGTGGTTCTAAAGTGGGTGCTATACTCATACCTGTCTCTAGGCCACTAGAGGGAGGAGAGTACAGTTTGGTAGATGTGGGGAGCTCAAGCCAGCAAGAAGGTGGAGAGGGTTGCCATGGCTGTCGTGCCTTGAACCTATGATGCTGCTTCATGGACAGGTCAGGTGTGTCCTCATGGATGCCCACCTGCCAACTACCTGTGCACTGGTGGGAAGAGGTGGGAAGACCTGAGCCCTGTGGAGTTGGTCTTTACCTGAAGCCACCACTGAACATTTGACTACCCTGGCTTATTACTGACAAGAAATTTTAGTTTTCTGAACAGATACTGTAGGTATCCCTGTTTTTGTTGTTGTTGTTGATGTTTGTTTGTTTGCTTTTGAGGTTTTGGGTGCTGGGGTCTTGAGGCTAGGACCTTGTGCATGCAGGCAAATACTCTATCATTGAGCTATACTCCCACTCCCCATGATTATTTTGTGTATGTGTGTCTGTGTGGGGACGTGTGTGCATGGGTGTGCATGTGTAGGACAGGGCAACCTTGGATGTTGTTCTTCAGGTGCCCTTTTTGAGATAGGGGCTTTCATTGGCTTGGAACTTGCCATGGAGGCTAGGTTGGCCAGCTGGTATATCCCAGGAATCTGCCTGTCTGTTTCCATAAAGCTGGGATTGCAAGATTGTTTGCTTATTTATTATATGTGTGCTTGTGTGTGTGGCCACATGCATGCTATGGTACATGTGTAGAGGTCAGAGGATAACTTTGGGGAGCCAGTTCTCCTTTTACTGTGTCATATCTGGGGATTAGGCTTCTGCCTTGTAACTCATTGTATAAGCCAGTCTGGCCATGAACTCATAAAGATCTTCCTGTCTCAGCCTCCAGAGTGCTAGGACTAAAGGCATGTGTCACCATGCTCCATGGTCTTTTTTTAAAGGAGTCTATGAGTTGACTTGACTATGAGTTCACCAAGCCTTGACTCTGGGCTTGGTGAAGATGTATGGGCCAGGAATGGTCCAGGAGAAGTCACAGTTGCCTTGTTTGGAATGACGAGAAGCCTGAGTTTAGGATGCTGTTGTGTGGCCTGTCCACAGGAGGCATGTGGGCTGGAAGTGATGATGCTAGCTTGAGGCTCCTTGGCTGATAGGAAGTTTCAGGGAGTGCCCCACCCTCCTGTCTAGTCCTCCAAATACATCCCAGGGATGACCTCAGAGGCAAAGCACTTGTCATAGTTGATTTGGGTCAATACTGACCATGGCTGCTAGGATCAGTGTCTCCTGTTCTTCTCACTGAGAGGTCTTGAAAATGAGGCTTTTAGAAGCTGGAGGTGGATGTTGAACTGGAACAGAGTGCGCAGAGACTTTCATAAGATGTTCGACAGTTTTAGTGATTGA